TTATTGTTAATGTATATTAATTTTTAATTAAAAATTTAATTTTTATTATTGAGTTTCAATCACCATATTATTATTGAGTATCAATAATAATGATAATAATAATATCAATTACTATTAGGAGCCATATATTGCAGATGAAGCAAGGTAAAAAAATGAGAGGTAGAGAGAGAGATAGAAAGAGAGAGAGAGATTGGGGATGGAGACCTCATCGTCGACGGTTAGCACAGTCATACGAGAGGTTCAAAATCCAGGAGAAGGGACGTCTCCAGCAGAATTCGAGCGTCTATGACAAGAGAATTTACAACCAGGCAATCCCTTTTTTCTTCACAAATTACCCAGAAGATTGGTCGTTTGAGCAGATGTGGCACACTTTCAACATACTAGGCCTCGGACGGGTGATAGAGATTGATTGCCCGGAGAAGAGAGACAGATTGGGCAGACGATTCGAGTTCGTTCGATTCCTGGATGTGAAGAATGAAGGAGAACTGGAAAGAAGATTAAATGAAATCAGGCTAGGGAATCATGTACTGCAAGCAAACAAACCAAGATTCATGAAAGGGGATCGTTTTAAAAAGGCGATTCCGAGTATCCAGACCAGGTTCCCGAATAGGAGTCATCAAAGCACTTTGGGTGCCAATAACAAACCATCCTATGCTGAGGTCGTCAAAGCTGCTATCAGAAATGGGGGAGGAAGACCCATGAGTAGAAGATGGGAGAGAAGAACAGAGCATAGGTATGCAGGAAATGAATTCAGCAACTTAGTAGGCCAGCAAAGGGAATGGCAACCAAAACATCAGAACCAGCAATGGTCGGGCATGGAGCTGAAAGTCGACCAGGGAGAATACGCATGGCTTGAAAAGTGCTTTGTCGGCAAAGCACATTCGGTGAATTTGATCCCGAATCTGCAAGAAAAACTTTTCTTGGAAGGAGTTTTTTACTGCAAGATTACACCATTAGGAGGCAGGCTAGTGTTATTAGAAGGCAAGGATTATGAGGATTTGAAGGAGCTGGTAGAGAAAGGAAAAGACTGGTTGGGGCAGTGGTTTGAAGAGGTGAAACCATGGTCCCCTTCTGTGGTTGCTACAGAGAGGTTTGCGTGGATCCGATGCCAGGGGCTACCAGCGCATGCTTGGAAATTAGAGTCTTTCCAAACCTTCGGAAGATTATGGGGAAGTCTGATATCCCTAGATGATAGCACTAGCAGCAAGAAGAGATTTGATGCTGCAAGATTCTTGATCACCACACCATCCTCAGAGTCAATTTCCAAGACAATTACAGTTAAGATTAATGGTGAATTCTTCACCCTGAAGTTCACAGAAGAAGAGTCAACTAATTCCCTATTCACCATGAGATCGGATAGGGTAATCCATGCTCCAAAGGAAGATGAAGACGAAGAAGGTAGTTCCCTAGACAGCCGGTATGAGTTTGATTCTGACAAAAATATGGATCTATTAGAGCAAGATGAGTGCCAGTCTTTGGGCGAGGAAGACGCCGGTGGTAAGAAGTCTTTGGAGGATGATTTGTCAACCCAGAAGGCGGATGTCGATGGTAAGGGGATCATAGAAGATGAGCTGGCAGCCCAGACCGATGAGGAAGGAAACTCGACCGAGGTGGCAACCCATGATGATGAGGTGGATAGCTACAGCAAGGAGTTTGAAAGCTCTAAAAGGAAAATGGGTGAGGTGGACTCTACCAATACCGAGATGGTCAAGGAATCAGTGGGCATGGGCGAAAACAGGAAGGGGGTTCAAAATTCAAATTCAAACTCAACAAATCCAGGAGTGGGGGATACAAGAAAGATAACGGCTATCCCAGAAGTGACGGCTCATAAAGGAAATCTGGAATCTGACAGTCAATTCAGCACCAATGCAGAAAAAGGCAGCATCAGCAAGTCCAATCACAAAAGAAGAAGCACTTTAGAAGAAGGAAGAAGTCGTGGATCAGAAGAAGGAAATGCTGGGGCCTTATATGCTGGGCTTTCAACAATTGAAATGGGCCTAGAAGAGGAGTTGGGGCCGAGGATGGATGATCCTATTAGGCCATCAAATATAGGCCCAATTGAGCAGACGGGGAAGATTAACTCCAAATCGGTCATAAAAAACAGAAAATCAGTCTCTTCTTTCTGGGATGACCTCGTGAGTGATTCTGATCTTGATGCTCCAGCACCGTGGATGACCAGCATCGATGGAATTGGGAGAAGAAATAAGAAGAGAAGAGCGAAGTCCTACGCCTCGGTTTACAGAAAAACAGGGGGATTGGAAGGCATCTTAGTGCAGCAGAATCGGAAAGGGCAGAGAAATGCATCAGAGAAATCTAAGAAGGAGATTCGGTTCGAAAAAAATCCAGAGAAGCCGGTTGCAGATACCTCGATCAATGACAGCAACATCCAAAACCGTAACAGAAGCATAGAATCGAGAAGCAGGAAACGAAACATGGAAGCTTTATGGTCCCGGGTCAAAGAGATAGGGGTAACGGTACAAGGAAAGGAATCAGAGGTGGTACAGAAACTGAAAGAAATGGAAAGCCGCGACAAGGAAATTTGGAGGAGGGAGGAAGAAAAGAAGCTCAGAAAAGGAGATCAGGTGAAGTCTCACTTCCCATGATTTTATCATCCATCAATATTAGAGGATTAGGGGGGGCAGGGAAAAAAAGGGAGATCCGAGAGATGGTTGTTAAACATAAGATTGATGTCTTGTTTATTCAAGAAACCAAATTGGAGTCTGTAGATAAACGATTGTGTAATATGTTGTGGGATTCAGTTAATTTTGAGTGGGTAGATCAACCAGCCATTGGAACATCAGGAGGAATCCTAATTATTTGGAACTCTGGTATTTTTAAGAAGAATAGATGCTTCCAAGGGACGGGATTTTTGGGAGTTATGGGGACGTGGGGAGAAGAAAGTATTCCGTGTTATCTGGTAAATGTCTACTCTCCTTGTGATTTGGCTGGTAAGAGATCCTCATGGGAGAATCTGTCAAATATTATCTCCACTTATAGAGGTAACTGGTGCATAGCTGGGGATTTCAATGCCATCAGAAGTCTTCAGGAAAGAAGAGGAGGCATTAGTATCAGAAGGGAGCTCAAGGAGTTTAATGAGTTCATTGAAAGGAATGGGTTGGTGGATATCCCTCTGTTAGGGAGAAAATTCACTTGGTATCAACCGAACGGGAAGTGTATGAGTCGCTTGGATAGATTCTTATTTTCTGAGGAATGGCTGCTTAACTGGACAGACCTGAAGCAATGGGGGCTACCTAGGTCTCTGTCTGACCATTGTCCAATTCTGGTGAGGAATGAAGCACGCAACTGGGGACCAAAACCGTTCAGATTTTTTAATGTGTGGCTTCAAGACTCGGAGTTCAGAGAAATGGTTAAAAATCAGTGGAATAATGCAAACACTCAAGGATGGGGAGGCTTTGTGCTGAAAGAAAAGTTAAAAAGTTTGAAATCTAGAATAAAGGAATGGGCACGGGATCATGTGCAGCTGGTGGATAATCAAATTGAGAAAGCAAAAGCCAATATAGCCGAACTTGACTATAAGGGGGAATCACAACAGCTTAACGAGTCGGATTGCCTTCTCATGAGGGACCTAATGGTATCTTTATGGGAAAATGTCCAGATTAAAGTGGAAATGGCAAAGCAAAAATCAAGGATGACATGGATGAAAGAAGGGGATGCAAATACTAAATTCTTTCACCGATGTATTAAAGGTAGATGGAGAAGGAATGAGATTAATTCCTTAATAGTCGGAGGGAAGGTTTTGCAAGAAGTAAAAGAGTTAAAAGATGGAGTCACCGATCACTTCATGAATCTTTTTGCAGAGGATGGTTGGAAGCGGTCAGTCTTGGACGGAGTGGGATTTAAGAAACTTTCAGAAAATGATAAGGATCTACTAACAGAGCCATTTCTTGAATCAGAGGTTAAAGAGGCAGTCTGGAATTGTGATAGTACAAAGGCTCCAGGACCAGATGGTTTTAGTTTTGGTTTCTTGAAAGCAGAATGGGAAGTGATCAAAGGGGACATTCTTAAATTTCTAGCAGATTTTCATAGTAACAGTAGGTTGGTGAGGGGCTCTAACTCGTCATTTCTGGTTTTGATTCCAAAGAAGGAGAACCCTCAAGGAATTGACGAGTACAGACCTATTTCCTTGATAGGTTGTATGTACAAAATTTTTGCTAAAATATTAGCCAACAGATTGAGTAAGGTCATGAATGGGCTCATAGGTGAACAACAATCAGCATTCATCGGAGGGAGACAACTAGCTGACGGCGCAGTCATTGCAAATGAAGCGATTGACGAGATTAAAAGGAAAAAAATGAGATGCTTCCTTTTTAAGGCCGACTTTGAGAAGGCATACGACAACATCAGTTGGGAGTTTCTGGACTACATGCTGGAAAGGATGAATTTCGGGTCGGTTTGGAGGGGATGGATTCAAGAATGCCTACGAACAAACTCAGTTTCAGTATTACTCAATGGTAGCCCTACAAAGGAGTTCGTTATGCAAAGAGGTCTAAGGCAAGGAGATCCCTTAGCACCCTTCTTGTTTCTTATAGTAGCGGAAGGTCTTAATGGCATCATATCGTCGGCTGTCGCGAAAAACCTATTTGAAGGAGTCCCAATGGGAGAAGGGAGTATGAATATCTCTCACTTACAATTCGCGGATGACACACTGTTATTAGGGGTAGCAACAGAAGAAAATATATGGACCTCAAAATGCATCATGAGGGCTTTTGAGCTAGTCTCCGGCCTAAAAGTTAATTATGGCAAAAGCTCTCTTATTGGAATCAATGTCGACAACCTATGGGAAAAGGAAATGACATGGTTATTAAACTGCAAATCAGGGTCCTTGCCGTGTAAGTACCTGGGTATACCTTTGGGTGCAGATCCGAGAAGGATAGATACATGGAAGCCACTGATCGACTCTTTTAAAAGAAAATTATCAACATGGAAGGGGCGCTATCTATCTCTTGGAGGTAGAATTACACTCATAAACTTTGTGCTATCTAGTCTACCAGTGTTCCTAATGTCCTTTTATCTCATCCCAAAGACCGTCATAAGGGAGTTAGACAAAATAAGGAGGAGATTTTTATGGGGGGGTGCTGAGGAGAGGAATAAAGTTGCATGGGTAGCATGGGAGAATATCTGTCTTAACAAGCTTGAAGGGGGATTGGGTATAAAAAATCTGTCATGTTTCAACAAGTCATTACTAGGAAAATGGTGGGGAAGACTGCTTATGGAAAAGGGGGGCCTGTGGAAGAGAGTCTTAGCTGAAAAATATGGGATTAAGGAAGGGTATTGGCTTACTTGTTTGAAGGAGGGTAGATCCCAAGGCTCTAAATGGTGGAGGGATGTGCGTAAAATAGATCAAGGGGAGGGTGCAAAAAATAATTGGGTGAGCTCAGGTTTTGTAGCAAAATTGGGGGATGGTGGATCTTTGAAGTTTTGGTCGGATGAATGGGTAGGAGGGAGTGCTCTCTCTAACAAATTCCCCCGCTTGTTTTTATTATCCACGGGCCAAAACGCAAAGGTTAAAGAAATGGGAACCTGGAGGAACGGTAGCTGGCATTGGAAACTACCATGGAAGCGTCAACTTCGTTCATGGGAGGAAGACCTTCAAAAGGAGCTATTAGAGATAATCAATTCGGCTCACCCAATTCAGAACGAAGAAGATCAATGGAGATGGCATCTCGAAAACTCAGGAGTCTATACAACCAAGACTGCATATTCCCAACTCTCAAAAGGTGGCTCAAGGCCTGCTGGAGACTTCAAGAGGATATGGAAAGCTCCCATTCCATCTAAAGTAAGTGCTTTTTGTTGGCAATTACTTCACAAGAAACTCCCCACAAAAGATAATCTTGCAGTTCGGGGAATTTTAACTGACCCATCTAGCTTAAATTGCTGTTGGTGTGATGCATGTCCCGAATCCCCTGACCACATGTTTTTTCATTGTAATTTGGCTTATTCTTTGTGGATGGAATGCTATAAGTGGTGGGGAGTGCATTATGTCATGAGTAATTCTTGTAGGATGGCCTTAGATCAACACATATGGACTGGGGGCAAGAAATTAATAAATAGAGGGTGGAACATCATTTGGTTTGCAGTGGTTTGGACTCTATGGCTGGGAAGGAACGACTTGATTTTTAACAAAAAGGAGGCAAAGGTTGACCGTTTTTTTGAGCTAGTTCAATCTCGATCTTTCTTTTGGGCTAAAAACATAGCTGGTATGGATGGATTTTCTCTGTCAGCTTGGGTCGAGAACCCAACAAATTGCTTAAAGATCAAAGTTACTTAGGAAGACAGTGATTGAACTAGAATTATTTTGGTTTTTACTCTGTTATGCTCTGTTTCAGCAGCTGGTAGGATAAATTTTTGTAACCTGCTGTTCTGCTGTCCGTGTAAGTAATGGGATGGAATACCCCTAGTATTCCAATATCAATATACCATTTGCTTTTCAAAATAAAAAAAATAATATCAATTACTATTATTATGATTATTATGTTAAAACTCAATAGCAAAATTTTTTGTTTTAAATTTGACAAGGGTATTAGCGTCAGCCATTTAATTAACTCTCATTCTAATGCAATTCCAGTAATACCGGAACTTTTGGTTCAACCGGTAACATATACTTGTGTGAGCCTATGTGTCAATTTCAATTGATACAATTGTTTTGGATATCAGCATCAGTCTTTTTCGTATTGACGCAAAATTTATTTGTGAGGCCCTTTTCAATGTCAAAATCTGCGTCAACATAGTTGACGCATTTGTTTTTCTATCTGCGTCAATTTTCCTTATATCTACGTCCATATTTTCTTAGGCAAATGGAGTTACATTCTCGTAGTGTGGGGCGGGTAAATGTTTGGTTAACCAAATGGTTAACTAAAAATTATTTAAAAATAAACTAAATATTAAGATGTATTTAAAAAAAATTTTGGTTGATTATTGGTTAAGGGTTTACAAACTAAAAATATGACCAACAAGTAAATTTTTGTATTAATAAATAAATAATAAGTAATTGAGGTGGGCAAATGCTTGGTTAACCAAATGGTAAACTAAAAATTATTTAAAAATAAACTAAATATTAAGATGTATTTAAAAAAAATTTTGGTTGATTATTGGTTAAGGGTTTACAAACTAAAAACTGAAAATATGACCAACAAGT